AGCAGTAGTAGTTGACTGTGAAAGAAGTGCTGCTGTGTCTTTGACACAAACTAAAAATTACAACTTAGTAAGTAAGAAATAATACATACTTTTGGCATTCGTCTAGAGCTAACACGTGTGGATGATCATCTTCAGACATTGTTATTACTGCTTCCCGGTTGAAAGCTCCTCGACGTCTCTGATCAACAGTGTGTCTTGTGATTGAGGATGTGGTTGAACTGGTCCAATAGAGAGTGTCCCAAGCTCTATGATAAGCAAGTCCCTCCACTGACCCAACATCTGGAAGACATGGTTAGAGACAGAGCTAATAAAACACCTTCTAACAAGGCATTTGTTCGTTCCCCCCCACACCCCCAAAGTTGATCCTGCAGAATCACAGAGTTCAGCTCTTTCAACCTATTGACTCCACCAATTTATCATTTCACTTCTGTATTTTTTATTGGAATCAAAGTCTTATTAGTTTTTCACAAATTTAAATAAAAAACATAGAGAGCAAGATCATTATTAATATCCCTGTACTATATTTGTCAATTCTAACACTCATTAAATTAATATTTTTACTACAGTGTCCCCAGATAATATATTAGAAATAATAAGCATTTATTCAAGACAGCAACAATTATTCACAACTTCAAACACCATTTAAGCCAAGTCTTGGCCATGTTTTCACTAATTACTAGTATTATTTAGCATTATCTTTCCATGTATTTTCTAACACAGATGCACATTACATTAATAGGGATCAAAGTGTCCTGTTGCTATTAACTGTAAAGGTTTCTTTTAAACACCTGAAAAATACTGAAAAAAGACCAACTCTGAAGGTCTCAGCATCAAGACGTCGTTTTAATAAGCCACAAAAAACACTCTTTCATGGTACATAAAAAATTGAGCTAGAAACAGAAGCAAATATTAATAAGCAGCTGAAGCATATATTTAACGTCCAGAAAAGAGAAATTGTATCTGATTCCAATATATAAAAGTGACAGACTGTGAGAAATAGGAGTAATTATTTCCTACCATCATTTTTGAATTACTACAAGAACATACGTTGATTACTTCACTTATTATTTTGTTAGAAACAAATAATTTTAGACCAGAAGGTTCACACAGCTTATTAATGAGCTACAGAAGGCAAAAATCTAGAAATATAATAAGGATTATATTACACTGGTTATTACAATTTGCATTCGGCTTGCTGGAAGATTTAGTTTTTATGATGCAATTCATATACGCAGAACAGAAAGTCCCAAACTGTTTGATCACACTGAAAGCGCCAACGCAAACAAAAATTAAAACTATAAGGCAAAAAATTATTTGTATCAGCTCTATACATTTCTCTGTCTAAAGCATTTGGAGATATTCTGACTACATTTTCATGACAGATCTGTAAAGAAGTCTCAGTAACTTCTCTTAAGGAAGAAAGAATAGAAGAAATAAATGAGATGACCCTTCTTAAGGCAAGGGAATATATGCAAAAAGGGTTTTCCTACTTATGAAGGAGAATTTACGAAAAAAGTTAACTTCAGCTTACAAGTATCTCAAAATTGTGACTGATTTTAACTTTACAAATGGCATTGAAGGCAACTTGGAAGTTACAAAACTCTTCTGAGCATTGCAGAGATAAGAAAAAAGACCCTTTTGGTAAGAATTCTGGTTTTCAAAAAGGTGAATGAGCTACATGTATTCTTTCCTTGAATGCAATATTTAATATTTATTAATGAATATTTATTAATTTATTTTAAATCTGAAGCATCAAACCCATATTGATATATTTATTTTTTGTTTCAGAAATCACCCACTGAAACAAAAGATAATCAGTTCTATCAAACATTGTGACAGAGATGTGCAAACACCTACTGAAGGAGATTAAAACCAGACAGAACATGCCCGGATGCAGAGTTACTGTCACTTATGGCTTATGCGTTTTCTGGGTACGTTGGTCTATACTACGAACCCAGAAAGTCAGTTGCTTCATTCTTGGGTCTAGCACCCTGGAGCACCCACACCACATGCATGTGCCTTTACACCAGGGCAACCCTCTGAAACAAAACAACTAATTCCTCTTGAGACGTAACCCATGCATTCTGCAAAAAATTGCTACTCGATCTGAACATCCCCCCTCTTTTGGGAGTATAAACAGGACCACATCAGGTTTTGCTCCTTTTGCCTACAGAGACCTCGCAACCGCTGAAATCTCAACACCTGAAACACAACTTAACTTTCTCAAATCATGCTTTGGGACATGCAAAAAATACCCTTGACATCCTAACATCAAAATACCACTCTTGGGAGTGACATACAGCCAGCACATAGTTTTAGGCAGCATGAGCCAAAAGAAATCCTAAAAGTAATGACAATTTCTCAGAGCCAGAGAAACACAACATAGGATTCAAAGGAAACTCGGACTGCCCAAATCGTTCTGGAGGCACTAGGCCCAGCTCGGCAGACATGAACCACTCTGCTCCCTGGTCTGGGCCCAAGGACCACTCCCAAGGGCAGAAATCTGTACAGTTTAGATACGGGCTCTGATATACTTCTTGGACAATACTTACAAACCTTCCACTAACTGTGATACAAAAAATAAACCTTAGTAAGTGTGATAAGTGTTAAAATAAAGAGACAGGAATATAATTCTAACTTAATTACTAATTTCAATTTAAATTATATGCTGAATCCAAATTTACTGCTACTTAGAATTCTCTAAACCACAACCAATGCTCTTAGATATAATTTGGACAATGCTCTGAGATATATGGTTTAACTCTTAGGTTTCTTTGTGTGGAGTCAGGAGTTCATCTCTATGATCCTTGTGGGTCCCTTCCAACTTGGGATAGTTTGTGATTCTATCAAAAAATGACAAAAGATGTATTGATATTTTCTGACCAATTCTGCACTTTATTTGTAATGAACAAACCAGAGCTTTTATTGCACTATTTTTACCTTTCATGTCTGTGAATGTCAAGTATTTCCTCATTTTTATTATGAAAGTTTTTAGAATAATGAAATCAAGTCTTTACCCTGTGGTTACAGACGTAGCCCTTAGGAGGCGAGGATTTAACCAAGATTTGCTGCAAATAATGCTCTTTATTTGAACGATGACTATCAGAAAAATAAATTCATTTCCCTCATGTAACCTCTTGAATTTCTATTAACTTTAGCTTTGTTTCTTATCTGAATCTCAAGAAATTTGAAGGCAAACTGTTTATACAATAAAGACTAAAACTCTTTTGTAATAGACAAAAGATAACGATCTTGTTCCTGCCATAGCCAAATGTGATGAACACAGCTAGGATGGTGAAAGTGCTTTTCAAATACAAGATGTGCAGGTTCACTTGTAACTTCTATAGTTAAGAGAACTCCATTTTCTACACGTATCGGAAACTAGAGCTTCACGTTCTTAAACTGGACCAACACATCATACTGTGACTCACATTAAGAGTCTGTAAATGATGACAGAAGAAGGTTTAATTCAACATCATTATTTAAAAAATGGTAATTTCTACATTTTTAGAAAACAGTCACGGGAGGTTATGCCATCTATGGAGAGAAGCAAAAATTTAGCATATAGATGAAAAATGTATCTTCCTTTTGTTTTAATAAAATATCTAAAATGAGCAGTTTTGAAAAACCTTGCCATATATACTTATGTTCCCAGTGGCACAGAACTGAAACAAAGCAATCAATAAAACATTTTATTTAAAAAGAGAACAGAGCACCAACTTTAAAAGAAAATAAAGAAGCTAAGATTTAAAAAATAAATCTCTATCTTAATGGGAACATCAACAATTAAGACTGTGAGTGAAAAGAAAATAAAAATTAAATCTGAAAATACCCCAGCAACAGAATCAGGCAGTAAAAGCTGCCTGAAATCAACTATCTGACATCCAATTAAGGAAGTGTTTTATCACACAGAAAACTTCAGGAACTGCTTGATGTATGTGTCATTTTTAAAGAAGACGAGAGGGCTCCTTATTAGATGATCACACCTTCGGACAAATTAACCCTGTGTCTGTGTTCAGCCTGTACCCAGGGCTAAACTATAACAGTTGCATTATCAACTGACACCAGCCAGGGAGGGGAATCAGGAAAAAGGAGAGCAGACCCAAGGGTAAAAGTGAAACAGATCTAATGAAACACCACCAGTACCAACAGAGATACACTCAGCCAAATGAATACCTACTCATGACAATCAACCAGAGAGCAGTCCTTGGGAGAAGTCAGGGTAGGAGAAGGAGGAACCTCAGTAAAAACCCCACAGGATCTCCCCTTTCTCAGCAAACCTTCCCCATATATAATGCCCATGACATTTTGGGATGGGCTACCCCTGTAGCTCACTCAGGTCAGCTGCCCTGGCTGACCCAAAACTGCTAACGGCCTGCCCAGCATGGCTGGGCTGGGATTCTGTCCCAGCCAAACTAGGACACTCTGCAACCATCAAAAGGTTCAGGTGAAAAGCATGATAATGGTTTAATAAACACCACAAACACAAAACTTCAGAGTAAAAAAAAAAGTCTTAAAAATACAAACCAACAAAAAAACCTCAGAGGAATTTAACTGCCTTGATTTAAGACAAGGGAAAAAAGCTAATTAAATATAAAACTGTCTGCTGCAAACACATGCCAAGCACATTTGCTTAGCAGCATCAGAAGTATAAATTCTGGAGGATTTATACCAGGCATTCTCTTTTATTTGCCAATAAACTTTTAGTTTTATAATGTTCCTTACTTATAGAATTGAGAACTCCACCAATACAGAAGAAAATTCTTTAATATTTTTAGAAATCTGTAAGTAAGGTGGTTTTAAAGACAATGACATAAGACTTAGAGTAGGTGCTAAAGCAATCCAAGGTTTAGATAAATTCTTACAATAGAAAATACAATTAACTTTCTTATTAGCATTAGTATGAGCCGGATGAAGCACCTTCAGTACACTACTCAGACAAATCTTCAGTATAGAAAGTTATGAGTGCTAATACAATATTTTTTGTTAGTTTATCTTGTTTCTAGATTAAAATAAAATTTTTGTTTTAGAAGTTAGTGAAGAATCCCAAAATTCATATAAAACCTTTTATCAGTGATAAAATAGGTGCCAACTGAGGACCGAAATGGTCCTAGAAATGGTCCCCTAGCCACTTCCTTAAAACTAAAATCTTCTAGCAACTTCATAGTGCCAAAGACAGGACAGTGGAGAAGATTCCAAAGCAACTGCATTCTAGTGTTATATCATTACCAGTTTACAATAATATTATTTCATATTTACCTATCTCACACTTCCTTAAC